TTACCAACACCTGTTGAGCGGCAGGTGTTGGCGGACGTGATAAAAGCAGGAAGCAGGTGGTGACTCCAGTCTTTTGTTACTGAAGGCTACAGTTACCTTGGATTGCGTTGGGAGGAGGATAGAACCAGTGGGATATGAGTGGGATTGGCTGGTTATAAATAGGAGTTGCCTTGTATGGGCCAATAGGCCTTCTGCAATTACCTTTATTCTTATGTTTTTATGGACCAAGCTTTATTTTTTACATAAAGTTTTTAAGCCTATCATTATCTATTTGGGATAATTATTATTCGATCCAATATATTCTTATATGTTGTTCTTATTCTTTGTTCTGTTCTTCTTTGGTCTACAGCCTAGTGGACCAAACTCTCACAAGTCAAGCCTAGCCTCGGGCCGGGCTTGGGGAGTGGAACTCCCAGAACCCCATCAACCAGGTATCTTATGTTCAATAACTGTGTATGGTATGCTACCTTACTCAGTGATCTGTTCTGCACATCCACAAACCTATTACCAAACCAGTATTTACACAGATCTTTCCTAAATCTAAACTTATCAAATTTATATAGTTTCGTGTTCTAGTATGTGTTAATGTATTTAATACCTTATATCTCCTTTCAACATACAAAGGAATGTCCATGTAGCACGGGCTGTAGTGGATTAATGTCGAGTTTAATGCTTCAGTAGCTTCACATTCTAATTAGTGCAATAGTGGCGCCTCTGCTTCTGTTTCACAGAGTGACACTCTTTAACTATTGGGTTTATTACCTCCCAGCAGCACTTGTAACCAAGTCTGTGTCTGTGTATGGCTACTGCAATGTTTCTGGATATCTTTTTGTCAGGCTTGAACGAGTAGTACCCAGTGGCTTGTTCGTACCATATCGCAGTGGATCTTCCTTCCGCTACTTTGGCTCTGTGGCGACTTTTGATAGTTGGGAGTATTTTCTTCTTGATTTGCTCTTTAATCTGTGAAAAACTTGGAGGCATTTGAACCTGAACAACAGGTAGAGCAGTGGCAGCTTTTGCTAGCGAGTCTGCCTTTTCATTACCATCTATGCCAATGTGACTTATCCAATTTAGAGTAATTGGCAGCCCTAGATTGTGTGCTTCTTTCCTCTATATGTTGGATTTCTGGGGATGAGTTGTATATTATCTCTGTGCTGACTGGATAACAATGCCTGGGGGGACGACTTAGTCGGTGTGAATGATATCATGTAAATTATTCTCAATTGCATAATTTGTACCTTTCAAGGCATATAATTCTTTCTGCAATGTTGAGCACCCACAATTCATGTTCCAGTAAGCTTCATGGTTGTTAGTGTAAACTGCTGCCCCACCAGAACCTCTTTTTTTTTGTTTTTTGATCAACTGATCCGTCTGTGAAGATGCGAGTCGTTGTAGGTTTTGAGATGCGTTCCATTTGTTGTTCTATGACTGCTTTGAGCCTCTGCGAGTCACATGCTGATTTTTTAACTGGTAATCCTTCAATGATTATCTTTAGACTCGATTTTTCCCCATGGAGGAGGCTGCCGAAAGTGTTGATATGATTTATCTTCCGCTTTGTTTTTAATGGTCCATTTCAAGTCCACGTTCTCTAGAATCTTGACCAGATTATCCGTCCATGCACGTCCATTGCACATGTAAGCAATGCATGAGTGGGATTGGGTGGTTATAGATAGGAGCTGCCACGTATAGGCCAATAGGCCGTCTGCAGTTACCTTTATTCTTATGTTCTTAAATTGATAATGGGGAGACCGGCCTCTGCTGTAAACAGCCTAGTGTGAGGACAGGTTGTGTGTCAAGGGCAAGTTTATTCTCTGGCACATATAGAGAGTAATGATGGTCAAGCGGATTAAGGCGTCCTGTACATACCAGTTGCGTTGTGTGGGAAAAACCTGCTGGGATTGATATAAGAGGAGACTACTAGAGACTTGGACTGAACTAAATTAAAAAATTGTCTGCAAATTAATTCCTAGAATCTCTAGCTAGGGTCGTAAATCCTAGCTCCTCTTTTCCTAATGACAGATTGTGGGCTGTAAGGGACAGGTGGGGTGAATGAATTAGTTGATAGAAGTTCCAGTCCACCTGTAGACAGGGATCTCACATCAGCTTGTATATTATACAAGGATAAGATTTGATAAATTCAGTTATATGACTGAACACTGGCTCTGTTTAAATCAGGGATTTAAACATACATAGTCTAACCTAACACCATAACTAACAGCCAATAGGTTCTTATACTATAAACAACAAATTAAATTGCAAAAGTATAATAAATGACTTTAAATGTAGTCTAAGCACTTAACTAAGTACTAGAAAATATATTCAATTAAATGAACTTGTATGATAACTTATAAATCAACTAAGCAAGCAATTGTTAACTTAATTTATATATTCAAATATATATGCAGACATATTTATATTAAATTTATTTGATTAGGGTACAGTCAGCTTGACTGAATCCTTTTCCACACAATGGACACTCGTGAGACTTTATTTATGCATTGCGACTGAATCTTTTCTGACACAACTGGACACTCATGAGGTCTAGTGCCTGGATAAGGACCTGCTGCTCTTCTACAATATTAATAAAATTACTGAAATATGAGGCTTTGCCTCGCTTTTTAACCAACAGACAGATTTATAGGATATTAAAGTCACACAAGCATACAATTGGCCAATCATATACCAAATAACCTTCAATATACTTCTCTGCCAGTCGGGGTGCCTGTCTGACAAGGTGCCAGACTGTTTAACTCTCTCTTGTTGAGTTTAGGCACGATATTTTGTCACAGCGTTGCTGTATGATGTACTGGTAGCGTTGCTACGTGATTGACCCTGCAGTTGCAGAAGAATGATAGTTGATGAAGATTAAGAATGAAGGTGGTGGAAACAGAGTCACTGTGAGCTCCACTATACACTCTTATTTTATATAAATGTTCTAGGATTTCCCTTGTAGATATTGTCCAGGTACTCCCCCAGTTCTAGAGTGTGTTCACTGGTGATAAAGATATTGGATAACGTGTCCTTGAGCTGGTAATGTTCGCTAAGGATCCGTCACACGTGTTCACAGTTGTCAACAAACGCGTGCTCCTCGTGGGCTCTCGTGGGCGCTTCTCCCCCGATGCCCCTCCCATGCTCCCCGAGCACGGAAGTCTTCTATGAATATTGATTGATTATTTTTACAGTCTAGACTTACGATTGAGATAAGATGTAATTATAATATAATTTGATATAGGATATAAAGATTATAAGTAGTACTTGATAGTACCACTGATTCTTAATAAGGATTCTATTTTTATCACTACCGGATATTGAATCAATGTTCCAATAATGTTTTAATTAAAAAAAATCCTTCTAGAAGCTTCTGGATCCATAAGAGATCATGCACAAAGTCACGTAGGCATCTATAGGGCCCTATGCGTACGTGATCCAAGTGGCATTATCTTCTAGGATCAAGTTGTATAATGAATCTATAATGATTCTGATATGATTTTAGATATGATTTTGATATGATACAGAAATTATACATTTCTTAGATGATAATTAGATATGGTGGGTAAAAATTTCCCACACGTTGCTCCTGGCAGTATGGGTTCGAGTCACTTCTGGGGTGAGAGTTTTCAGTTGCATATAATAATAATAATAATAATAATAATAATTTTTATTTAGGCAAAGGTACATACATAAAGAGATTTTACAAAGTTTGTTGGCTTTATAGATAAGAGCTAGTACATACAATGCCTAAAGCCACTATTACGCAAAGCGTTTCGTATATAGTTGTTTTCGTATATAGTTCGTAATATAGTTGTTTGACCATTCAGGCTTGTTCGCATAGAGAGTAATTATAAATAGTGCATTGCTGTTTTAATTGGACAATTACCCCTAGTGATTCATACACATAGCTTGTGTGGCTATCATCAATGGTCTGTGTAATTGAAATTGAAATAAGTTTATTGAGGTAAAATACACACAAAGGGATGCGGTAGCTCAAGCTATTCTCACCCTATTCAGTACAATGTGTTAATATATACATGGACACACATCACAAATAAACATAAGAACATAAGAACATAAGAACAAAGGTAACTGCAGAAGGCCTATTGGCCCATACGAGGCAGCTCCTATTCTATAACCACCCAATCCCACTCATATACTTGTCCAACCCGTGCTTGAAACAATCGAGGGACCCCACCTCCACAATGTTACGCGGCAATTGGTTCCACAAATCAACAACCCTGTTACTGAACCAGTATTTACCCAAGTCTTTCCTAAATCTAAACTTATCCAATTTATATCCATTGTTTCGTGTACTGTCCTGTGTTGATACTTTTAATACCCTATTAATATCCCCCCGGTTATGTCCATTCATCCACTTGTAAACCTCTATCATGTCACCCCTAACTCTTCGCCTTTCCAGTGAATGCAACTTAAGCTTTGTTAATCTTTCTTCATATGAAAGATTTCTAATTTGGGGAATTAACTTAGTCATCCTACGCTGGACACGTTCAAGTGAATTTATATCCATTCTATAATATGGCGACCAAAACTGAACTGCATAATCTAAATGGGGCCTAACTAGAGCAAGATATAGCTTGAGAACCACACCAGGTGTCTTGTTACTAACGCTGCGATTAATAAATCCAAGTGTCCGATTTGCCTTATTACGAACATTTATGCATTGATCCTTTTGTTTTAAATTCTTACTAATCATAACTCCCAGATCCCTTTCGCAATCCGACTTCGCAATCACAACACCATCTAGCTCGTATCTTGTAACTCTATCATCATTACCTAACCTCAGAACTTTACATTTATCAGCATTAAACTGCATCTGCCAATCCTTTGACCATTTCAAAACCCTATCTAGATATTATATCTAGAATATAATATATTCTGTTATATATATATTATGGTCTGATATTATATCAGACCATAATATACATATTATGGTCTGTGTAGGTATAGTGTTATATATGTAATTTGACACCGTTTTCTTTCTACAGAGGGCAGGGAGAACGTGTGATAACCTCTTAACCTTGAGAGGATGATAGCCGCTGAATTTGAGACGAGGATATCCAGTTAACCTCGAGATGAAGTCATCCCCCACCAGTGTCTTCTGCAGCATGATGATGTCAGTTTGGTGTTCTCAGAGGTGCTGTACTATGTCGGTAAGTCTATTGTCACTCCATTATTGTTCCTTTGTTCAACCACTTGGCCAGGACGGTAGAGCGACGGTCTCGCTTCAAGCAGGTCGGCGTTCAATCCTCCGACCGTCCAAGTGGTTGGGCACTATTCCTTTTCCCCCATTCCATCTCATCCTTATCCTGATCCTTTTCCAGTGCTATATAGTCGTAATGGCTTGGTGCTTTCCCCTTATAATTCCCTTCCCTTTGTAGTCTTATGACTTTCTCCATTGTTTTGACATTGTCATAAGAACATAAGAACAAAGGATTTTCTAGAATTAATTGACGATTGCCTTCTTACGAAACATATTAAGGAACCAACGCGGGAAAATAATATTTTAGATTTAGTGTTAACTAACAGGGAAACGCAAATTAATGACATCGAAATAGGGAGTGTCCTAGGGAACAGTGATCACAAAGTTATGAGATTTAGCATAGAATGGAATAGACCTGTACGAGAAAATTCTGTTAAAGTGCCAGATTTTCGAAAAGCTGATTTTAATAGCCTAAGAAATTTTTGGGGTCTAATTGATTGGAAAGTCTTGGGTATGGGGTGTGGGCCGGTCTTGGAGCGAGACATGAACCCAGCGATAGGTGACGTAAATGTGGATTTCGATGTGGATTCAATATATATCTTATTTAAGAATATTCTAAACAAAGCACAGGAACGTAGTATACCATACAAATTGAATAGATCGAATACTAATGACCCAAAGTGGATAACAAAGAATTTGAAGAACCTTATAGGTAAAAAGAGAGCTTGGTACAAAAGGATTAAAAATGGGGAGGTCACTTTAGAACAGGAATTCGTAAAACTGGTTAGAAATGTTAAAAAAGAGTTAAGGAAAGCAAAAAGTAACTATGAAGTTCGCATAGCAGGGCAAGCAAAGACAAATCCTAAAGGGCTTTTTCAGTTATATCGTACTAAGATTAGGGAAAGGATAGGTCCATTAAAAACTGAGACAGGTCAAATAACAGATTATGATGAAGAGATGAGTAGTATTTTTAATAAATATTTTGTATTTGTATTTACTAAAAAGGAACTTAACAATATGCCTTCAGCCGAACAAGTCTATGTGGGTGGGGACGAGGACAGGTTGACGAGTTTAGCAGTTACCAGGGAGGATGTTCTTAAACAAATAGTAAAACTCAAACCAAACAAATCCCCAGGGCCGGATGAAGTGTTTGCCAGGGTGCTTAAAGAATGCAAAGAGGAGCTATGTGATCCACTGTCAACCATATTTAATAAATCAATAGAGTCAGGCAGAGTGCCAGAGTTTTGGAAGGTTGCTAATGTGAAGATGCAGGCCTATTGGCCCATACGAGGCAGCTCCTATCTATAACCACCCAATCCCACTCACATACTTGTCCAACCCGTGCTTGAAACAATCGAGGGACCCCACCTCCACAATGTTACGCGGCAATTGGTTCCACAAATCAACAACCCTGTTACTGAACCAGTATTTACCCAAGTCTTTCCTAAATCTAAACTTATCCAATTTATATCCATTGTTTCGTGTTCTGTCCTGTGTTGATACTTTTAATACCCTATTAATATCCCCCCGGTTATGTCCATTCATCCACTTGTAAACCTCTATCATGTCACCCCTAACTCTTCGCCTTTCCAGTGAATGCAACTTAAGCTTTGTTAATCTTTCTTCATATGAAAGATTTCTAATTTGGGGAATTAACTTAGTCATCCTACGCTGGACACGTTCAAGTGAATTTATATCCATTCTATAATATGGCGACCAAAACTGAACTGCATAATCTAAATGGGGCCTAACTAGAGCAAGATATAGCTTGAAAAGCTATATCTTTTGGGCATCTTTTCCTATATGTTGAATTTCTGTGAGGAGTTGTATATTATCTCTGTGCTGACTGGATAACAATGCCTGGAGCGAAGATTTAGTCTGTATGAATGATGACATCATGTAAATTATTCTCAATTGTATAGTTTATTGCCTCCTTCAGGGCATATAATTCTGTTTGCAATGTTGAGCACCCACTATTCATGCTCCAGTAAGCTTCATGGTTGGTAGTGTAAACTGCTGCCCCAGCAGAACCTTTTTCTTGATCAACTGATCTGTCTGTGAAGATGCGAGTCGTTGTGGATCTAGAGATAGTTTCCATTTGTTGCTCTATTACTTCCTTGAGCCTCTGAGGGTCACATGCTGATTTTTTAACTGGTAATCTTTCAATAATTATCTTTAGATTCGATTCTTCCCATGGAGGAGGCTGTCGAAAGTGTTGATATGGTCTATCTTCCCCTTTGTTTTTAATGGTCCATTTCATGTCTATTTTCTCTAAAATCTTGACCACATTATCCATCCATGAGCTTGTTCTATACTGTAGGTTTTTCTGAAAGGATCTCTGTATGCTGTCTTTGATTGATAGCCTGGCTGTCGTTGGTTGTTCCAGTAAGTTTTCCTATTATGGTGGCTATCCTTTGTTTCATCCTATTATGTTGGCTATTTGCAATTCGCTTGCTTATATTCGATGACGACACCTCGGCTTCCTCCAACCAGGATGGAAAGAGTATTACCTGTAATTGGGGAAAGGATTGTAGCTTTTGTAATTAGTGCTAATTAGTTATGCCATTAAGATAATGAGACTGTAGTGAGTATAAAGTTTGTACTTGCTACAGAACCAACACGGGAAAATAATAATTTAGATTGTGTTAACTATCGGCCAATTAGCCTAACGTCTATTGTGGGAAAGTTACTTGAATCGATAATTGCAAATACAATTCGTCTTCATCTTGAAAAACATAAATTAATGAGTCGCAACATGGTTTTACAAATGGCCGTTCATGTTTAAAAAATTTGCTATCTTTTTATTCCAGCATAGTTGAGGCAGTTGATAGTGGTAAGGATTGTGATGTTGGGTACCTTGACTTTAGCAAAGCTTTTGATACAGTGCCACATGAAAGACTAATTAAGAAAATAGAGGCTCATGGTATTGGGGGTGCTATATTAAGTTGGATTAGGGCATGGCTATTCCAAAGGAAACGGAGTTAGTATAAATGAAGTCAAGTCAGAGTGGGATAATGTTAGTGGAGTACCTCAGGGCTCTGTCCTGGGACCTCTGTTGTTTATAATATATATAAATGATTTAGATTCAGGTTTGAGTAGCAACATCTGCAAATTTGCTGATGATACAAAAATCGGTAGGGAAATTAACACGGAAGACGACTCACGATCACTTCAAGTTGATCTAAATAGAGTTTTGAAATGGTCAAAAGATTGGCAGATGCAGTTTAATGCTGATAAATGTAAAGTTCTAAGGCTAGGTAATGATGATAATTACAAGATACGAGCTAGATGGTGTTGAGATTGCGAAGTTGGATTGCGAAAGGGATCTGGGAGTTATGATTAGTAAGAATTTAAAACAAAAGGATCAATGCCTGAATGTTCGTAATAAGGCAAATAGGACACTGGGATTTATTTATCGAAGCGTTAGTAACAAGACACCTGGTGTTGTTCTTCAGCTATATCTTGCTCTGGTTAGGCCCATTTAGATTATGCAGTTCAGTTTTGGTCGCCGTATTATAGAATGGATATAAATTCACTTGAACGTGTCCAACGTAGGATGACTTAAGTTAATTCCCCAAATTAGAAATCTTTCATCTGAAGAAAGATTAACAAAGCTTAACTTGCATTCACTGGAAAGGCGAAGAGTTAGGGGTGACATGATAGAGGTTTACAAGTGGATGAATGGACATAACAAAGGAGATATTGTCGTGACGCTGAACCCCGGTTCATTCCGAACACAGCGATTACACAACACATAACACCTTGCCTCAGCAACCGTTACTACCACCTATACTCCTACACACACCAGACCCTTGAGGCGTACCACTAGGTTTGTACTGGAACACAATGAATGAACATATGGAAGGTATTTAAAGGCCGTCGGGTTTTGTCATTTAATTACAAAGAATAGACTCTGACAAATAATAACATATTAACATACTCTATTAGGTCAATACACTTCCAATACCCATAGACCACTTGACCTCCGCGATCACCACCCACACTCGTAACTTCCGCCTAAGTCCCTAATACGGAATGATTACTACAACGCTCCACCCCGGTTAGTCTTTTCATTCAATATTCACATACTGCAGACTTAACTTGGTCACTAAGATCACAGCAGGTTCTTGCATAGCTGTCTGCTACACTTCGCTGCTGCCACAAACGGAGATGCAGAGGACTTCTCAGTTCAACTCCCACAATCAGACCGACTCCAGTCAGCCATCTACCTCAAACATTTCACCCCGCCTCTCAAGGAAGGTATAATCCAATTAACCTTATCCCTAGAAGCGATAATCTTGTTCCTAGAAGCCTGACGAAGAATAATTCCTCTTTCCAGGAATTATTAATTTGGCTAAGTAGCTGCGGTCTTAATCCCTTGACCTTTCTTAGATATGTGATCCATAGTCTGTCTACTTAACATGTACTTCCAATCATCATTCGTTAAGTGTTGTAGTAATGATCCTCTAGCTAATAATTCCTACTAACTTGTGGATTACAACAATATTAATAGGGTATTAAAAGTATCAACACAAGACAGAACACGAAACAATGGGTATAAATTGGATAAGTTTAGATTTAGGAAAGACTTGGGTAAATACTGGTTCGGTAACAGGGTTGTTGATTTGTGGAACCAATTACCGCATAAGTGGTAGTGGTAGATCAACAGATTAGCCTCAGCTTAACATACTAGCTTAATATCAACAGATTAGCTTAAGTGTGTTGGTATTTTGAGGTCCTCCTCCTTCTCTTAATGAGTTTTTAATTAATGTTAATAGTTATTCTGAAGAATGGTTGACCTCGCTTCCTTTATGGCAGACCTTTTCTTTTTCACGCAATGATGTCATTAAGGAGCTTTTCCTACCCTTAATTGACCTTAATCTTGCTGTCCTCGGGACAGATGAGGGGGATTCTAGGAATTTGTGGAAGGGATTTGCATCTCTCCTCCAC